GCTCCCTCCCTGAGCGCCCCCCCACCCGAGCCAGTTCTGGGGCTCCCTCCCTGAGCGCCCCCCGCCCCAGCACACTGCACCTGGCCAGCTCCGGGGCACCTCCCTGAGTGCCCCTCCACCCCCACCCCAGCACACCCCACCCAGCCAGCTCCAGGATGAGGGGCAGGCCCGCAGCGGGGAGGTGCGCAAAGCATTCGGATACAGTCTCGAAGCCAAAACCCCAATCCAGAACCTTACCCCCCACCCCAGCAGTGGCCGTTCCACCCCTTCACCATCAGGCCTGGGAACCCTGGCAACCAGAACCCTCGTTTTTATTTTGTGTTTTTTCCTCTGAAGATGTATTTGAGATTCTGAGAAGGAGCAGAGAGAGCCAGTGGGGAGGCAGGGCCGTGTCTTTGCTGCCGTTTGCTCTTCTCCCCCGTTTCTCTGATGCCTGCCTGTGGAGCTGCATCTACTGAGCTCTGGAGGGTCCAGGCAGGGCCAGGGACCCGGGGTCATGACACCCACATGGTGCCCAGGGCCTGCCAGTCGCCAGCAAGCGGTTGGCCGTGGAGGCAGGAAGAGATGGTAGACGCCTGTGCACCACCCAAGGGGGGAAGCTATTGGAAAACAAATTTCAGATGGTGTCTCTCCCATCCGAAACTAAAGACTAGCTTCTCAGTGACGGAGGGGAAGCATCCAACACAAAGATCCCTTGAATTCTCTGCGGCCAGTGGGCAAGCGCGGTGCGGCTGGCGAGTTCCTGCAACCCTGTTCCTGCGACCCTCGGGCAGCCCCACTCGGGGCCCCTCCCCACGGCAAAGCACAAGGCAGCCTTCCTGCAGTGCTGTCTCCACCTCAGGTCGCCCTGGGCCAACCGAGTCAGGAGCCCACCACAGGACTTGCAGTGTCTGTAGGAGGGCCACCGTCCCTCCGCTGAGTGCAGCCTAAGGCAGGAGGTCAAGGAAAAGGACGCCCCGCGAAAGCCAGCAACGCGTCTATGCCCGCAGTAAGCAGCACATGAGGGCTAACGACGCCACCGATAAAACCAGACGTTTAGGGCGCCTGGGCGGCTCAGTTGGTTAAGCCACTGCCTTCGGCTCAGGTCATGATCCCGGAGTCCTGGGATCGAGTCCCGCATCGGGCTCTCTGCTCAGCGAGGAGCCTGCTTCTCCCTCTGACCCTCTTCCCTCTCGTGCTCTCTAATAAACAAAATCTTAAAAACAAACAAACAAAAAACAGACGTTTATACAAAATTCACAAGGAGAAATACTCATCAGAGCGCCATCCTGTGCGACCAGGGACCAGCCCCAGCTGATCCCTGACCTGAAGGGCAAGGGGTGTGCCGCCGTCAGGGTTGGCGCCAGCAGACGACCTGTGAGCTCGCCGGCTCTGCACGGCAGCTCAGCGGCAGGCAGTCTGGGCTGGGCCACACAAGGGTCTCTCCACCCAAGTCTTCTGGAGCCACCAGACGGATCCCCAACCTCACTCGGCCTGGCCCTCATGCAGGGGTGGGCCTCCTGTCTTCCTGGGCCCCCCACCCCCACCCCCGCCATGAGCTCTGACAGTTAAGTGCTGGGCACTGCGGCGCCAAGTCATCTTAGAGGTCGGCTGGCTGTTCTTGTGAACCACATTTTTGGCCATCTCTCTGGCATTTTCTTCTCTTTTCTAGAACGCTCCTGCAGGGAAACGCTGGGTCTCCTATATGAGGGTCATCTTTCTCTCCTATTTCCCATTTCTGGTTTTCAGTTTTGCTCTGAATTCTGAGAGGCAGCCTCTCCTGCCCGCACCTCAGGGTCCATCTGTCCTGGGTCTGCGCGGCCTCAGGGTTTGGGTCTTTGCCACCTTTCTCTTTTCCGCTGACGGTGCCTCAGATGTCCATGGACCCTGGGGTGTGGGAGTCACACCAGAGGTGTTAAACCAGATGACGGGAGGCGGGTTGGAAATCACACCCATCAGGGGTCACCCCACGTGAGATGACAGCACTGTGATTTCTAACGCAGACAGACACGAAGACACCACCAGCGACAGGCCTCTCCTCCAGGACCAAGGCTCTGAGTGGGGCACACAGCCCCCATCTGGGCTGACCCGGTGTGCTCTCTCTCCATGGCGTTTGACGAACAGAAGTTTTAAATGTGAATGAACCCTGATCCATCAGCCTCTTCATTGGTGACAGCACCCCATCCTGTCAGGAGCCCTCGCCCCACCCCAAGGGCCTGAGGCTCCCCCTATGCTTGCTGCTAGAAGCAACCTTAATTTCTACCCATAGCCGTGAAGCTGGGGGTCCACATGGAAATCTTGCAGTGCCCCCTTCACAGGATGTCCAAGGTCACACCACCACCATCACACAGTACAGCTTCCCACAGGCCTCCTGGCTCCCCCATGCCCCCTATACTCTGTTCTTCACAGAGCAACCAGAGTGAGCCCATTAAAGCAATGCTTCCAACTCAACCCCCCTACCGCACACCCATCTCAGTTGAGGGGAAACTCTGAGTTCTGCACATGCTCAGATCCCCACACCCCAGTACAGGGCAGCTCCCAGGCCTGTCGCGGGACCCTCCCCTCATCTCTGCAAGCCCACTCCAACCAACCTTCTGAAAATCACCAGCCCTCCTGCCCTTTTGCCCTGTGCACCCCTGGAAACAGTCCTGTTTGACCTCCTGCCTCTCTCCCCTTCAAAGCACACGTTCCTCGAGGCTAGGAGCATCTGGCCACACCCTCACAGGGGCAGGAAGAGAGGAGTGTGGGCTATCTGTGGGCACCCACATGACCCCTGCAGATGCACGGCTGTGCCAGGGAAAACACAATGACTAGGAAGCCCATCAATCAGGTACACACTGGCCATGCTGGGCAGGGCAGGGGGGTGGGAGGAGCAGGGCGAGGGACCAATGGTGCAGAGTGGAGACCGGTGGGCCGGGGAGGTGGATGCTGCCCGAAAGCAGAGGGGCAGCCCGAAGGCTAGAGAAAGGTGCACACGGGTCTGTGAAGCCCTGGTAAGGGGAGGGAGAGCACTGGATGCCTTCACCACTGCCGAGCAGCCTTCCTCCCGAAGCTCCATGCTTAACCGCTTGCCCACACACCGAGGGCCAGAGGATCGTCTGTTTCTACAGAGGGGTGGAAAACGCACCCTCCCCTGGACACCAGTAAAAACAGTCATGGGAGGGCAGGTACTGAGTGGGAACAACCCCTTCCACGGGCTTCCCCGTTAGAACATGCTGGCAAGCGAGAAGCACCCACAGCTGTCGCGCGGTTCAAACACACGAAACCTGGGGCACACGTGCGTGAAGGGTTTGGGCCGCGCTACCTGATCAGGGAGGCTGCTCAGCGAGCACCCGGGACGGCCCGCCCCCGGAGGCAGCAAGAGGCCCCGCGCACGTGCCCACCTCGATGCCGCTCTGACGGGCCAGCTTCACCGCCGTGTTGTAGTAGCCGCAGCGCAGCAGGTGCTCCACCATCATGCGGTCCATGCGCTTCTTCTTCCACAGGCTGGCCGCCGCCGGCTGGTCGCTGCTGTGCTCCTTGAGGTGCTCGATCCTGCGCTTGCACAGCTTGGCACTCTCGTCCTCAGCCTGGATGGACTCCACCGCCTGAGACGCAAGCACACAGGGGTTCAGGGTGGGACAGTGACCAGGCTGCGCCTACCCCCACCCTCACACACAGGGGGACACGGGGGGATGTCCCCTTGCTGGGTGATGGAAGCAAAAGGGAGTTATCCGCCCCCCCCCCGCCCACCGCCACGAGGCCGGTTTGGCTGCACCTGTCATTACCCAGAGGCAAGTCAACACCTACCACTCTGGGTCTGCACCTTCTTTTCAGCGACATCACCTTTTACTTTATGGAGTCTGGAGCTATGCGGCCACATATGCATAATTTTAAATTTGTTACAGCTCCCTGGTTAATTAAGCCATCTGTTATTATTTTGCGACTTTCGTTTATAATACTTTTTCCCTCAAAGTCAAGTTTGTTCAAAATTAACACAGCTCCGTAGACGTGTTCTGTATCGGTGCTGGCTGGACAGCAGCCAACCGTCCAGCACCTGACGTGTGGTCAGTGCCGCCGCCGAGGGGCCAGATTTGCAGGCTGATTCACTGCGGCGCCCACCTGGCTGGCGGTGCACAGGCTCAACTGCTGCCCTGGCTGGTCCGCCTTTCCCTCGAGCACACGCCATGGCTTTCTGGCTTCCAGGGTATTTGCCACTCCTTTGGAAGTGGTTTTCTTCCTCCTGCTGCTTTTAAGATTTTTCTCTCTCTTCAGTTTCATGATATGAAATCCTAGGTTTATTTTTATTTATCCAACAGTTCTGAGACTCTCGGCCACTCTTCCCACGCCCTCTTGACTTTGGTTGAACACGGCCTCCACTCTAGTCTCCGAGGCTTCCCACCCTCTTACGTAGTTCTGTGTTTTTAGCTTTGTGTGCAACTAGAATTTCTAGGAATTATCTAGAAAAACATGCCTACCTTCCAGCTCACAAATTCTCTCTTGAGCTTTGTCTGATTGTTACATGTTAAAAAGTGTGTTATAAGCAAACATTTGAGTTTTTCATTTCAGTTATTATACTTTTAATTTCTTGAAGTTTTATTTGGTTTATTTTAAACTCTCAATCATGCTTTATACTTTATGTCCCCTGCAACAATTCTCAGCTGTCTGCTTAATCTTCAGACGCAGTCAAGTCTGGTCCCTGATAATCTCTACGTCTGAAATCTGGGCGGTGTCCATTGTCTCTGCCGCAGCATCCTGTGCACCTGGTGATCCTCCGTCAGACCCCTGACGCTCGGACGGACGGTGTCCTCCCCGCGAAGTGCACTCAGTGAGGCGCCACCAGCTGGGACCACTTACACCAGGCTAAGAGGAGGGTCCTGGCTCCCCTGGGTGTTCTGAAACAGGCCATGATGCTCTGCCACAGCACGTCCACTCCTGGGGCAGCCCCCCGACACGTACTACCACCAGGTCCCACCACCAGCCCTGGCCTCCCCCCGCCCCCGGCACTGGCCGCAGCCGTGGGTGCTGCCCCACTGTTGGCCCTGCCGAACAGCTCTGGTGATAAACGCTCGTCTCATGAGCCCTCTGATACGTTCAGTAAGACGTTGTAAAGCATCTTGCTGCGTCCTCTGGGTTATTCAGTGGGCGCAGTAGTGCACCCTACCTCCGTCTCCCAGAAGTGAGAAATTTCCTCCATGAAGCTTTGAGGGGAAATTCTAAAAGTACTAAATCATCTGCCTCCTGTCTGTGCTTGGGACACTCTGGAGTGAGGACAACCCAGCCCTGCAGGAACAGGAGCACGGGACTGGAAGCAAGCCGCCAGCCCCACAGGGGCTGCAGACCACAGACAGCATGGAGGGACTCGCCTTGCCCACACTCTGGCCGTAGGAGCCCACCTCCCCATCGCAGGGCTGCTTGGTCTCCACTGTGTCCCGGCTCCCACAGAAGACAGCCCCTTTTTGGGACTGCCTGGGTACATGGGAAGGCTGGGCCGCTGGACCTACGCTACAGCCCACGCGTAGGCAGGCAGGCAGGATGGTCCAGAAGCCACACCGACCTTCCTCTTGAGGACGCTGAGCTTCTCCACCACACCATCCAGAAGGCTGACCACAGAGTCCACAGCGGGGCAGCTGCTCAAGGTCTTCTCCAGCTCAGCCACCACCATGGTGACGTGGCTCGTCTCTCGGTCAATGTTTTTCTGAGCAGCCCGAAAGCGTTTATTCAGTGTTTCGTAGGGCACCTGGAGAAGGGAGGTAATTGGTGTGTGAGCATCAGCAGTCCTATGTGTGGGATGCCCAGACCCCCTTCATGGCGTTTTGTCAGGCACAAGTCCTAGGCTTCTAGCACTCTAAAGACACGTCTACTCTAACACCTGACTGAGGCCCACAAAAGCTCTGTGTGAACGGAGGGTCATTTGTGTTCCTCGATGAGGACACTAATGAGAAGACGCGTACTGTCCCCAAATCCACAGAGGCAGAAAACTGTTAAGGGCACACCAACAAAATAATCCCAAAGTTCATCCAGAATAACAAACAGTTTAAGGAGATGACCAAAATGAGATCCATCAGATGTGAAAGCCTGCAGGGGCCTGCGATGGGCCCGGGGGGGTGCTGTAGACTTGGGATGCCAGGAAGGGGGTGCAGAGACAGGTCAGGGCGTTAGCACATCAGCAGAAACCAAAGGTGCACATCTAATGCCTCTCAATCAGACAGTGCTCATCTGCCCCCAGTGACAAAACCACCTTTCCCTACAGAACACCTGACAAAAGACCCAGGAAGGATAATGTGTCACTGTTACACTTCTGTCCTTCCAGAGAGAGTGGCTGCCAACACTCCTCCCAGCCCTTGTTCTGGCTGTGGGTCTAGCACTTTGCGCTCATCAGATGCTGCTCACGCAGCATGGACACCCCAGTGACCAGTGGTTCACTGTGGATGTCCTCACTGCCAGCTCCAACAGGTGCCAGGCACCAATGTGTGCCAGGCAGGAGCCTGGGATTCCCAGAAGCAGAGATGCCAAGGGGACCTAGACACCAGCAAGGGGACCCTGCAGCAGGACTTCCCCATGACCTGGCCAGGGGTCCAGTACTGTCCGTGCCCCAGCTGCCACCCCCCTCAGGCTGCCCTGGGGACACAGTGGCAGTGGGTAAACAGTCCTGTCCACACCTCGGGTCTTACCAGCTCAAGAGGCAGGATGCCATTAGATAAACCGTGTATGCCACCCGGGGAGGGCTCATCATCCCCAGCAGCCGGGTCTAGTAGTCTTTCCTGCAACCATGCCACAGTCTAGCACAAGCAAGACAGGAGAGTCTTTAGACAAAGCCAAAGGGCCATCCTTAACGTGGAGTGGCACAGAGCACCCTAACGCCCACACAATGGTACCTGCCCCGAGGTCCATGCCCTAACCAGGCCTGCCCTGGCTTCAATCCCTGAAGAGCCTCCCACTGTGGCACGTGGACAAGGGTGAAGCTGCGAGCAGGTGGCCGGGCTCAGACACGAGCCCCGTCCTCCATGTCCAAAGGAAAGGGCACCCTGCCCTGAGCCTCAGTTTTGGCAAACGTACCTCATAACATAACAACAGCACAGCACAGAGACCTAGGTGCATGCATCCGCTAGACCCCTCCTGGACAAGAGGCCGGGCGGTGGTGGGCTGCTGACGTGTGCAACCTCCCTTCCGGAATCTGGGACTGTTCTCAGAGCTCCCACCCACCCCAGGGGCCCTGCAAACCGTCTGCTCCAGGATAGGTGTGTGCTTCCAATCTGACCCAGCGGACACTTTCATAAAACACAATAAACAGAGTTACTGAAAAGTGAACTGAAATCCCATGATACCCGCTAACAAAAGCTTCCAAGTTTTATTCTGATTGAGACAAAATTACATTTCAATAAATACAATCAAAGCAACCATAACACAGGAAAAGAGAAAAAGCCATACACCGCACACACTGTCAGCCCAAGCACACGCAGGTGACGGGAACGTCCCCGGCTCTAGGCAGCTGAAGTCCAGGTGAGCAGCAGGTGAGTGCCGTTACACACACAGCAGGTCTCCCTGTGGTCAACATATGCAAGGCTCAGTGGACACCAGCACAGGACTCCCTGGACTCTCAGGTCCTGCCTTCTGCTCATGACACCGGCCTGAGGCTCATCCCTTAGCCAAAGGGAAGGCAAAAGGAGACTCGGAAGCAAGCGCTACAGGCTTGGTCTCCATTTTTAACTTTTATCCAAAAAGGAAGCAGGCAACACTCTAACATTCATCTTCAGTCCATCATCGATATCCAGGCCCAGTAATTTATACTGTAAGGTAACAGTCCATGTTAATTCCTCTATCTTTTGATAAAAGAAACTAAGTCAGGATTTTGTATACTTCTTGGGGGCTGTGAGCCCCACTGTGCTCTTCACCACGTGGCCTCGTCTTCCCCTGGACCTGAGTCAGCCCCTCAGCCTCCACTCCTGAGTCTGACCTCCAAATGGCCCAGACAGGCGCTTTCCATGGCTACTCTTCCCACCCAAAAGGACTCACGAGCTGCCCTCGGTGCTCCAGCCCCACACCCAGTCACAAGCTCCACAGGGCTGAGCTCTCAGGACCTCACCTTCTGCTGCCCACACCCCCACCTGTCCTGTGCCCCCCACCAGCCTGGCCCAGAGCAGCACCCCCACCCCCGGAGCTCCCAGAATTTACATCCCGGGAGCACTAAGCAGCCTCCTGTGCCAGCTTCCGTCCCATGGACACCAGGCAGCTGGCCCCGGAAAGCTGCTCAGTGTTCTGCCCACAGGGCACCCTGCCTGGGGTCCTGCCTCCCCTGCCTTTCCCCAACTATCCCCCGCTGCTCAGTCACCAGCAGCTCCTTCACAGGCTCCTCCCAAAAGGGCTTTTGCCAAATGAAGGAATGGAATTTCAGAAATGCTGAAGATCCTGAATGAAGCCAAACTATCATTCCAGAAGAAGGGCAAGATTAATATACTTCTGGACATGCAGGGACTGCCAAGGTTAGTGCCCACAACCCTTTTCTGGGAGGAAAATTACTCAGAGAGCCCTCGGTGAAACAAACAACAAAATCAATGAGAGGAAATAAGATAACAGCAAAGAGCAGTGAGGAAAAGCACCAGTAAATGATACAGTCAAACTAGAGAGCAAGAAACCAATCCACAGCCTAAGAAACGCGGACAAGGTGACGCTAAGTCCAAGGGATTCTGAAAGAATTCCAAAATAAAAAGCAAATATTAAAATGTAGCCTTAAATGCACAGGCAACAAAACCAAAAGCAGACACATGGGATTACATCAAACTTAAAACTTGTGCGAAGCGAAGGAAGCGATCTGCAGTGCGCAGCCCAGGATGGGGAGGGCACTCTGGTACCCGGGACAGGCGGAAAACTTCACCTCCACAGCAAAGACACAACACCCAACCCAAAGTGGGCAGAGGCCCTGAGCAGACAATTCTCCGAAGAAGATACACAGTGGCCGACCCGCACAGGGAAAGGTGCTGAGCATCACCAACCATCAGGGAAATGCAGGTCAAAACCACGGGCAGACCCCACCCCACACCCCACAGGACGGCTGCTCTCAAAGGAGCGGAGACCGACAAGCCTTGGCGAGGACGTGGGGCAATCAGAACCCCGTGCACCGTGGGGTGCAGCCGCCGTTGAAAACACCATGAAGGGTCCTCAAAACACTAAGCACAGAATGAGCCCACGGCCCAGCCATTCCACGTCTGGGTGTGCTCCCCGGAGAACGGAGAGCAGGGTCTGGATGAGAGGCCGGCACCTCCGTGTTCACGGCAGCATCATGCACAGCAGCTGAGACAGGGAAGCACCGCAGCATCCGTGGACGGGTGGACAGACTACCAAAATGTGTTGTATACACCCAATGGAATGTTATTCAGCCTTACAAAGAAGGAAATCTTACCATATGCTGCAACATGGATGAACCTGCAGGACATTATGCCAAGTGAAATAGCCAGTCACAGAAAGACTAAACTGTATGATTCTTCTCCCGTGAGATACCGAGGGCAGCCAAACGATCAGAACGAGAAGGAAGGAGGGCGGTGCCGGGGTCTGGGGAAAGGGGAGGGGTTTAATGGTGTAACAGACTAAATGTGTCCCTACCCTTATAACACACAGACACAAATACTACCCCCAACGGGATGGCATATGGGGATGGAGCTTCGGGAGGTGACCGGGTTACAAGGATGCGGCCCTCGTGACTGGGATCAGCATCCTTCTAAAAGGACCAATGGCTGTCTTCACCACATGGGATGCAGGGAAGAGGCCCTCACCAGAACCAGACCACCCCGGCACTCTCGTCTTGGACTTCCAGCCTCCAGAACTTGGGAGAAGAACCTTCTGTTGTTCATAAGCACCCGGTCAACCTCACTTTTAACTGGTTAACACAAATGGGTACATAGTCTCAGTTGTGCACACTGAGCAGTTGTGGCGACCTTACATGCATATAGCTGATACTGCTTAAAGATGACGAAGATGGTTAGTTTCGTGTTATGTTTCACCACAGTAAAAACATGGCAATGGTACCTGATTTCAACAACTACCATGAAGCTATAGTGAACAAGACAGTGGGGCCCTGGTGCAGCTGTGCACCAGCACCGGTGGAGGGCGGAGAGCCCAGAAATGGACCCCCAACCCAGGAGCCCAGCAAGCCAGGGCAGAGAGGACCTGCTCTGCAACAATGGTACAGAACTGGACAGCCACATGGGAGAGGGAGGACTTCAGCCCGGACCTCACTCGGTCCGAAAAAATTCTTAAATGGCCACGGACCCAAACATCAAAGCTAAAACTACAGAATTCTAGATGGGAACACAGGAGAAAACCTTCACAACCTTAAGTAGGCAAAAATTTCTCACAGGGATACAGAATGCACTAACTATGAAAGAAAAATTAATTAATTAAACCTTATCAAACTAAAACTTCTACTCTTTGAAAGACAATTATTTAAGAAAAGCCACAGACGAGGAGAAAACATTCAGTGTATGTAAACCTAACAAAGGACTTCTAAAACACGTTTAAAACTCTTACAACTCAAGACCAAGAAGACAATCCCATCTTTAAAATGGGCAAAAAGTTTTAACAAAAAGTCACAAAAGAAGATATATACAAAAGGCTAATAATGAAGACACATAACATCATTAGTCAGAAATATGCAAATTCAAGCCACAAGGGGACACATGAGGGTCAGCTGCATGTGTTTTCAAGCTGACCAGGCCACAAGGTGCAGACACGGTCAGATGCAGC